ACAGAAATATCAAATGGTCAATAGGGTGTTCAGACCCTGTGCTGTGACACTCATATTTAACTCAGGTGTTTTCCATTTTCTGATCATCCTTGAGATGGTCCTACACCTTCATTGGAGTCCAGATGTGTTTTATTATACTGATTGGACCTGATTAGGAAAGCCACACACCTGTCTATATGAGACCTTACAGCTCACCATGCAAGTCAGAGCAAATGAGGTCAAAGGAACTGCCTGAAGAGTTCAGAGACAGAACCGTGGTGAGGCACAGATCTGGCCAAGGTTACAAAATAATCTCTGCAGCATTTAAAGTTCCTAAGAGCAAAGTAGCCTTCATAATACTTAAATGGGAGACGTTTGGGATGACCAGAATCCTTCCTTGAGTAGGCCGTCCAGCCAAACTGAGCTACCGGGAGAGAAGAGCCTTGATGAGAGAGGTGAAGAGGAACCCAAAGATCAGTGTGGCTGAGCTCCAGAGATGCAGTCAGGAGATGGGAGAAAGTTGTAGAAAGTCAGCCATCACTGCAGCCCTCCACCAGTTATGGTTTTATGGTAGAGTGGCCCGGCGAACTTCTCTCCTCAGTGCAAAACACATGAAAGCTCACATGGAGTTTGCTAAAAGACACCTGAAGGACCCCGAGATGGTGAGAAATAAGATTTTCTGGTCTGATGAGACCAAGATAGAACTTTTTGGTCTTAATTCTAAGCAGTATGCGTGGAGAAAACCAGGCACTTCTCATCATTTGTCTAATGCAGTCTCCACAGTGAAGCATGGCGGTGGCAGCATCATGCTGTGGGGGTGTTTTTCAGCTGCAGAGACAGGACGACGAGGGAACGATGAATGTGGCCAAGTACAAAGATACCTTGAACCTTCTCCAGAGTGCTCAGGACCTCAGACTGGGCTGAAGGTTTAGCTTCCAACATGACAATGACCCTAAGCACACAGCTAAAATGACAAAGGAGTGGCTTCACAGCAACTCTGTGACTGTTCTTGAATGGCCCAGCCAGAGCCCTGACTTAAACCCATTTGAGTATCTCTGGAGAGATCTAAAAATGTCTGACCAACGTTCACCATCCAACCTGACAGAGCTGAACAGGATCTGCAAGGAGGAATGGCAGATCTCCAAATCCAGGTGTAAGACTCATGGCTGTATTAGCTTAAGGGGAGCTTCTAAGTACTGAGCACATGGTCTGAATACTTAGAACCATGTCATATTTCAGTTTTTCTTTTTTTATTAAATCTGCAGAAATTTCTAAAATTCTGTGTTTTTCTGTCAATTTGGGTGCTGTGTGTACATTAATGAGGGAAAAAAAAGTTTAAATGAGTTTAGCAATTGCCTACAAAATGACAGAGTGAAAATTGCTTTCCGTAGGTGTTGGAGACTATTTTCATGTTCAACCTGCATGCAAAACTCACAGTGACTAATAATCAGAAATAATCATCAAAATGGTGAACCACACCTTTCATTTATACTAGACCAGATACTTGACTTGTGGTGTTCATTTTTATTTTTTATTTAGAATCTAACTAATTTTAGATTAGTTTTCATCAAAAAGACTGTACAGTTATGCTTATTTGTCCAGATGAGTTTTTTTTAAAACCATTTCCAACAGTAAGAGCCAGTTTTGAACTCAGAGTAAATTATTAAAATAGTTCTAAAAACAGGCCAAAGATGCATGGAGTTCCTAAAGAACTTTTTTTATACACACATTTAGCATTCATAATTGTGTTTTTGTGATGACATTGAAACTACAGATAAGTCTGAATTAGAAAATAAGAAAACAAGCTTGTGTAAACATCCTGACTAATAAGGACAGTTTTTTATCCATAAATGCAAATATAACCTAATCTATTGTTATTTGGCATCCATCACCCTTCATGGTTTCCTCCCAGGTTCTCAGCATTACTTTTATTCGGTTCTCTAGTTCTTTCTCTTGCTGTCCCTTGTTCCTTGTGATATCCTGTTATTCTTGTTCAGTTTAGATCATTATTGTTATTTTTAGCCTATTTTAGTTCATTTAGTTATTTGGTTCTGGTATCCTTTTTTTAGCTCCTCCTGTTGTCACACCTGCCCATTGTTGAAATTAGCATCATCACACCTGTTTCCCACATCTGCCCTCACTTAATCAGTTTACTCCTTTTGTTAATCTGTGCCTGTTCCTGCCTCATGTTTAACTTTGTACCTGTGCCTGTGCTCTGGTGTGGTCCAGATTGTGAGTAAAATAAGAGTGTGTGTTTACTTACCTGGGTGTCTCCTGGCTCACCTGCATTTGGATCAAACCTTCACTAAAGCATAATAATAATAATAATACATTGAACTTATAGTGCTTATTTAGGGCACTCAAAGACGCTTTCATGCACTCTCACATTCACACACTGCCAGTGATGGTAAGCTACTTTGTAGCCACAGCCGCCCTGGGGAGGTCTGACAGAGGCGAGGCTGCCATTTGGCGCCATCAGCCCCTCTGACCACCATCTACACAGGTAAGTTGAGTGAAGTGTCTTGCCCAAGGACACAACAGCAGAATACCCCTGGCAGGAGCTGGAATCTAACCCATGACCATGATTATGAGGCAACCCGCTCTATCTCCTGAGCTTCTGCTGCTTGACATCAATATTTGCAACTTTAATGCAAGAAGTGAAGTTTGATCATCTCACAATGTCATAAAACTCCCAGTTAACTTAATTCATCTGCAGAGAATGATAACAAACTCAGCCTTTAGCAGTCCTCTGCCTTAAGCTCTTGTCCACTCAGCAAGGCAGCAGCAGCCCAGCTGGACGCTTAGCCAGTGAAACTGTTGAGGTCACAGAAACCTGGAACTAAACGTCTGTTTAGACTTTAAACCAGCGTGTCCCCACGATCCACTGAGCTGTGACTGACGGCGTGAGTCCAGGTGGAGCGGCACTTTTCTGCCCAAACCAGAGGACCCCTTTGTGGCTCCGATGGGACCACGAAAACGTTTTTCCAGTCCATTACCGTCAACACCATGCTGCCTGCCAAAATGACCAGGCAGAAAACTGAATCTCAGCTGATTTTTGTTCCTACTGAGGTGGAAATTTGCTGGTTGGAATAATTCTGGGTGTCATTTTCCATTTTTCACCACTCAGTTGTGTCTTAATATTTATGTGGAATTTTATTGTTTATTTTGGTGGTCTGCTTGTTCTCTCCCACTTAGATGGAAGAAAACATGACCAGATACAAATAAACCTGTAAAATGAACAGATGACCACTTAATGTCAATGAATATTACTAGCAGCAATTATCGATTGCACAAAATCTTTTGATTTGACAGCGTTTGATGGTCTGCTCAGACTGGTGCCAGGCTGTTACTTACACTGATACCTCCCTGACTGTTGGCTTAACCAGTGACAACATGACTGACTGGGCTGGAGCTTCATCCAACCAGTGCAGAAACATGAGTCACACCATTAAATCACACCATTTGCCAAAGATTTTCCAAGTTTTTCTTGACTGAAGAGTCAACAGATCTTGAAAGTTTTGACGTCAGAACTCTAATAAAAATAATTATGCAGGTCTTGGCTTTTTTGAATAAGCTGGAAATCTGTAAAAGACTAATAAACACATCTTCTGCTCCATCATGGTCATCTGCTTTGCTCTTCTTCAGGCTGTTGTGAACATCCTGAACAAGTCTGATGTCACTTTGTTTTTGAAAGCGAAAAGTCATCAACTCTTCTTTGTATTAAATAAAATCCTTGCAGCCACCTGCAAAACTTGAAATATTGAGAAAATGCATCACCTCTGCTCACATTTATATTCTTTAGAAACTCCATCAACCCATTTGGTGCTGAGAAATTATTTTGTTTACAAGGAAAAATGCAAAATATAGTTGAACCAATATTACCATCAAATGCTTTTCCGTAAGATCGTGAATGTCTTCATATCAGCTCACATCGTTAATGAGTTGAGCTAAATCATCACAGAAAGTAGAGTCGCTGAAGTGTGTTCCTTTATTTGCTCTCCAGAAAGAATTGACATTCAGCCAAAGATATCAGAAGAAACCCAGCCGTCTCTTTTTGTCTTGAACACAGTCCCAAAGGACAATATCGATCGGCTCTGAGAATAACACCCGGCTGGTAGACGCTGATGTGATCTGGAAGAAGCTGATAAGGTAAAACATTGATACAACTTGAGATAACACGATGACATGATCTGACAGGTCTGCTGCCAAGTCAGTGCAAAATAAAGACACATAGAAATAGTGTTAAACATAACAACGTTCATTATTTTAATTTAAAATAAATTTTTATGCCAACATGAATTTATTAATAAGACTTATAAATAGAAGAAGAAAGATAGTGCCTCAAACATTAAGAGGCCCCAGCACAGAACCTTGTGGGACACCATGGGCAAAAGAGTAATCAAGTTATTTACTGTGGATAGCTTCCTAAAGAGCTTATGTCATTCAGGACTGATAAGCTAACCAATAATGTAAGAGTAGCAAAGGCAAACAGCAGTTATTACAACTGTTGTGTTTCAAACGCCTCGCTCTGTGTGTCATTGACTGCACCGGTGTTCGCAACAGCTGGAGGACAATCAAATGACGAGAGTAGGGGAGCTGGAGCACTCGGGTGAGTTAAGTTTTCTAATTAGTGCAAAAAAATTTTTAAAACTATACACTACCTTTTCAACACCAAATGCATCTTTGTCAGAGTTGGTAATTCTAGAGAAGATGCATTTGGCACCAAAACATTAGTGTTTAGTTTTTATTTATTTTGCACCGATTAAAAACTTAACTCCCCTGAGTACTCCAGCTCCCCTACTTTTGTTCTTTTCTTAACATTTACACCACCATCAGTCCTGCACAGCTGCTCTTTTAAATCAATTCCAGTCTAGAGTTTTGAAATCTTTCACAAAGCTTTCATTTTCAGACCACATGTTTAAAATATTAGGAAAGTGACCCCTAGGTTAACTGGAACTCTTTCAACTTGCTGTTGGTATTCACTGTTGTGAATAATCATGGGAATTTATGAGATGCAAAAGTTCAATGAACATATTTGGAATTTAATGGGGCTGAATGAAGATGGGAGCAAAACACTTTGATCTCCAAACAGAAACTCTTCAGGAAGATATCTACAAAGGCTTTCAATATTTATGTTTTACAGAAAGACTTCAAATGGACACTTAGAGGCAGCTCAACATAGTTAGGGCAATAGAGGGTTAAAAGAATCTGCACACACACACACACACACACACACACACACACACACACACACACACACACACACACACACACACACACACACACACACACACACACACACACACACACACACACACACACATCTGTTGTTATGGTTTTTATAACAATCTGAAATCACTCTTGAATTGCCAGTGTGGAGTACTCCACCATCCCATCATGCTCTGCTTGTACGTCCAGCATCGTCTCCAAGTTTTCATAAACCTCCTCGGGTCTCCGGTGACGCCTGAAGTCCACTGTTGTGTAGACAATGCTAGTCTTTTCCTAAAAGAGACCACATTTAAAAAGACATAAAGGACATAATGAACAAAAACATTTCCAGTCAAGCTGACAGTGAGTCAGGAACTGCTTCCCTGTTCTGCACCTACCGGGACCTCTTGTTTTAGTGACTCACACTCATCGACATAAATATGCTCACACTGAGTTCCTCCTACTGTGCCTAAAACAAGAGCACAAACAAGTGGTTTCCTAGAAAATAAAGACTTTCTTACTGTAAGAAAAATCCCAGATAGTCAGATCGCTTACCTGATTTTCTGTGTTTGACTTTGAATCTGTAGTAAACCGCACCGATCAGTAAAATAATAAAAATCGTCCCTGTGATGGACACCACAGCAATGAGTGGCAGACCAAAACTCCAGGGAGCTCTGGAAGACAGACAGGACACAGAATCATCATCACTTTTTTTCAACCTTCTTTCCTGCAGATGAAAAGCAGACCAGTAAAGGTCCTGATAAAGTCACTGTGGTCCTGCCTCAGAACTGTGGAATCTGGTATTGCTGTGGAGCTGTCGGGACCTTTGATGGTTTCTATCACTGAAGGCTGAGTGTGGCTGTAGTGATCTGAAGCTTCTGCAAAATGCAAGACTTCTGACTTTATTAAAGCTTAAAACATCACTACAGATTCTAACAATTATTTGTTAGAAAAAGCAACTGTTGCTTAGGAATACTTACCAAAGACCTGGACATAATAATCCCTGTAAACGTAGTTTGGAGCTTCCAGAATGCCGCATCTGTAGTATCCTGCATCTGATGTCTGCACATTTGATATTTCAAACTCAATCCAGCCAATCTCCTCTGTTATTGTAACTCTTCCTCTCAGCAGATCGCAGGTAAATCCAGAGGTGTCCAGTAGCTGGTAACATCCTCTTGGGTACAGCTTGCAGCAGAACTTGTTGTAGCGGTTGTAAAACGGAGGAAACGAGAACCTCAGCAAAATGTGCTCAAGCTCCTTGGTTCCCTTTAGGAGAGCAACAACTGCAAATAAAACTAAATTAGTTTTAAATGTTTTGTTTTCCAGATTTGAAAAGTTGAAAATTACAGTTTTTTTGGTCATACCTGATAAAAGACAGATAGAAATGAAGAGAAACTTCATCTTTGTCTATACTGAGCGGCAGGACTTCTGGACAGTTTGGACTGCAGAGGAGCCTCCCCAGAGGATAAAAAGGAAGTATTTTTTTTATCAGCTAGTGAACACGAAAACACTTATTGTCATGTGACCTCTGCCCCTCTAAGCCCTATTTTCCCATCTTTATTATTAAATAAAAAATTGAAGATTTTACTTCCTTTTGTCCATTTCTCTAATTGTACAAGCTGAGGATATAAGATGAAATGTTTTTCATGACATGTTGCATGTGCAGAATGTGATCTGGCTTTCAGTTTCTGCAGAAGAAATTCCAAAACGAGCCTTTATGTTACACCGACAGCTGTGTTGGTGTGCTGATGTTAACATTAGAGATGACTGCTCTTTGGCTCCGACAGGCAGAAATATTCATCACAAAATCACTTGATTGAAGGAAGATCTCAGTCAACCAGCACCACTTGTTCTTCATGACCCTTAAAGAGCAAGTCACCCCCAAATCTACTTTTTTTGCTGATAAACTAAATAAACGAGTGTCTAATCGTGCTGCAGACACGTGTGGTCAATAATTTGGCACTTCAGTGCATCTTAGTTAAAATTTAAATATTCTGCCTAAAACTGTCAGTGTTGTGCCATTGTCAGGTAAAAACTCTGCACTGTATTTGAATTTAAATCTGCCACCGCTATTGGTTAAGAGGTATGCTATGATGTAAACTGGTACATTATGATGTCACAATGCTGTTGTGAGCCTGTATGTGTGTATTTGTTAGTGGCTCCGCCCTCTCGGTCTGCCAGGCAACAGCATTTGTTGCATTTTTCAAACATGAAGTGGGAGTGGAGTTAGACTCTGGTAGGGGGTGACTTGCTCTTTAATTATTCTTTAATTAAATATATAGTCATTTTGGTTTTGCAATGACAAAAATGAGAAATTATCAGTGATGCTTTGATTTTTAGCTTTTCCTATCTGATCTTAATATTTACAATAATTAGTCTATTTTTAATGGAACGTATTTGAAGATGCTTTTCACTCCTGTTTTTGTTTTTCTGTGAGAAAATTATAATATGACTTCACACAGCTCCAGACAAGCTGCTTCATCTATTTCCTAAAAGAAACCAATGAATTAATAAAGACAAAACCATTTATTTGGTGTTAGCTTTCAACTTTTGATACGTCTCATACAACTCAATAAGGTTTTTATATATTACAACAAAAAACAGCCAATTGTATTTACATGAATATTCAATATTGCATCATTCTAACAATAAACTTAATTTATTACACCTAAAAAAGGAGCACTTCCTTTTCATTCCTCTCCAAACTAAAATCCCTCCAATCATCACGACTGATTTCACCTTTTCTTTCATAACATTGCCTTGCAAGTTTAAGAAGTTCAGGCACATAAACACAGACCCAAAATGTACGCATCAAGCACAACTTCTTCAGATAAACTCTGAGATGCACAGCCCAGTAAATAAGTTAGAAGCAATGGGAGTGTGTGTGTTTTGCAGCTTCCTCGAAGAGCAGAGAGGATAAGGCCTTAAAGTATGAGTGCATAAATACGATGATGTCACTGTTCCATGATGGTTCTCCTTTGATGCGCTTGGATGACGTTTAGGTGTCTAGTCGTTGGTGAACGTGATAACGTCGTAGTGGATGCCCTGCTGCTGCAGCTGCTCCAGCTGCTCTGGTGTAGCCTCCGTGTAAAATGTTTGGGTTTCTCCCACGTCGGAGTCTGCTGCAGCTGCAGGAACAATTTCCCAGTTTAGTTTGCTGACTGGGTGATGCACTCATTGCTGTTTTATTCACTTTCTTTTTCTTCAGTTTAAATAAAGAAACTGGATCTTTTTTTTCTGTGACCGATGGTAACAAACTATTTCTTAAAATAGTTTTAAATGTAAAAAGATAAAGTGGTGTAACCTGTGACAGCAGAGTGTGAAGTGGCCTCCGGGTCTTCTGGGGTCACGATCTGCTCTGAGCCAACTGGCAGGTACTGGATCTGACCGTCATGGCTGACGGCGATCTGCACTCACAACAGAGTGGAACATTAACTTTTAGGGTTAAACACAAACCTCTCTCAGCAGATGATCTGACAAGCTGGATTTACAAACATGTTTATAAAATCTCACCTGCTGCTCGTGCTCGTACTGAATAATGTGTCCGTCTGGCATCTGTCAGACAAAACAAACATCCTCATCATCCAACAGGACACATTCCTATCAGTAAAGGTGATTCATTTAAATAATAAATAAAAAAACACACCTGTATGTGGTTACCGTCGGCAACAACTACATACTCCTGAGGGATGATGTGCTCCACTCCATCCTGTGAGATGATGTACTGGACCTGAAACGTGAGATGTCCCAAATAGAATGAGTTAAACACACACACACACACACACACATACACACACACACACACACACGCACAATAAGAGGCAGACTGAAAAACATGTAAATAAATCGCTTAAATAAAATTCACAAAGTTTTTTCACAAGAAAACAGGATATAAAACCAGAATTTTAACATCAAAATGTGATCAAGCAAATATAAACTTTATATTTGTTGTTTTAAAAATCATAAATCTCTTTTAACAATTGAAATCTCAACTTTATGCAGGTAAAACTAACCTCAGTCACCTGGTTGTCTGCTGTCACCAGGTGCTGCCCATCTATTGTTATCTGCTGGATGTATGAACCATCCTCCTGGTTGATGCACAGTTTAAAGGAGAAATTAAATAACCAATCCTAGATTATAAAAGATAAGTGTGCTGCTTATGGTGCGAGCGCCGTTACCTGGTCTGATTGCGCCGGCTCCTGAGCTACGATGATGTGATCCTGCCCTAGGGCCTGCAGCCGCTCCGGCGTGATCACCGTCGGATGGGACTGCAAGGCTGTCACATAAAAATCACACATGATCCTTTGTTTTCCTTCCAGCTGCAGCAGTTTGTTTGTTTCGGTGTTGTGTTTCTTACACTGCAGGGTGGCTAAAGCCTCCTCGTCACTATTGAGGATGATGGTTTGCTGAGATGAGGAGCTGCGACCTTTGCGATTAGCATTATCGTTGTTGTGGAGACGGTCCATGTGAAACTTCAGGTGGCCGTTACGGTTGAACCTGAAGGAGTGGGAGCAACAACACCGACACTGATCGTTATTCAAAACATCTTTTAAATTTAAATCGAATAAAAATATGCGTGGTCAAACCTTTGTCCACAAATCTTGCAGCCGAATGGTTTCTCATTGGTGTGGGTCATCATGTGTCTGCGCAGGTCCTTCTTGTTCTTTGAGGCAAAGCTGCAGCTTGGACACTTGTGAGGTCGTAGGTAGGAATGCATCTCCATGTGAGCCTGAAAACAAAAACAAAAACAGGTTTTGTCTTTTTAATATAAAAATTAAAAAAAATCACGCAGCTCAATGTCTGAGAAAGTGAACACGGCTGAGCAACAGAGCAACACACCTTGACCCCAGGCCAGGAGGTGGAGGTGTAATCACAGTCGGGGCATTTGAAAGTGTTAGCATCTAAGTGCGCCCTCTTGTGGTTCTCCATGTCAGAGCGGCCACTGAAGGACTCCATGCAGATTCTACAGCAGAACTTCTTGGTGAGGCCGGGAGAGCTCACAGAGGGGGGAGAGGCTGGAGCGTCGCTGCTCAGCTGGCAGGAAAAAAGCAGAAATACAGTCAGATGAGAGCGAAACACATCTGTACATGTCTATAAAAAAACAGGACAAATAGTCACCTCCACTTGCTGTAAAACACCATCAGCCAGAGCCGACGTTAGGTAGTACTTATCACTTTTCAGGCTCTCTGACCCTGAAACGTCTAAAGCCTGAGGAGGACTGCTATCGCCATTGCTGTAAAGACAACCATCTCAGCAAATTAATTTGTTAGCCATAAAGAAACATTATTGTGATCAGATGACCTGGGATGTATAGTTACCTGTATCCTGGACTAGCAGGCTGCTCCACCACACTGAAATCCCCTCCATCTTCATAGGCTCCAATGGCAATGTGAGTGATCTCTCCTGTTTCACTGGTGGCTGCCTCATAGGCCTCCTGCAGCACCGTTTCACCATTTTCATTCACGTGGACGGTCATAATCTTCTGAGCCTGGCTCGGGTCCAGAGTGACCGCCCTGAGCGTGCTTTTCTCCCCGGGTTTCCCCTCTGACTGTAGCACTGCCACCTAGAGAGAAGGATCCATTTAACCTTCCAAACATGAGGACGTTTACTAGATAAATGCATCTGATGTGGGTAATGGAGCGTTTGGTGAACCTGGACGGAGTTTCCAACAAGCTCACGAGCATTGCTCATATTCAGCAGTAGGTCCAGCGCGTTTTGAGCTGACAGATCAACCGACTCAGCTGAAAAGAGAGAGAGAAAAAAGCCTACAAATAATCTGGATTTAAAAAAAGAACTGTCTTGTGGAATCCCGTCCAACCTTGCTCATAGATGATGGTCGCGTTTCCCAGTGCATCCTGGGACACCGAAGCACTTTCCATGCCCTGCATCGCTTGTAGTGTCGCAGGATCCACCGCAACCTGATGGAAGTGGGTTTATGAAAAGAGTAATGTGTCAGAGCTAAAAGATGCACCACGTAACACCTTAAAGGACCTTAAACAGACTCACAATGGTGTTCTGCAGAGTCTGTGCGTCGTCATGCTGCTGTTTGAGCTCCTGGATCTGTTGCAGGGTGAAGAAGGGCTTCCGTCGTCTCCTCACCGGTTCTGCGGGGTGAGCCACCGACCAGTCTTCAAAAGCCTCTGGGTGGCGACATTGCACATGAAGACGCAGGTTCTTCTTGTGCTTCGTCATGAAGTGGCACGTATTGCAGCTGAAGGGTTTCTCCCCTGCAGAGAGAACACGGTCAGGTGGGGAAAACAGAGACACGCTCTCCTTTGTACAAGCGCACTCTGACCTGTGTGTTTGATGGCCAGATGTGAGACCAGGAACTCCTCTTTGGATGTGGAGTATTTGCAGTAGTCACACTTGAAGGGCCTGTCGTTGGTGTGAGACAGCTGATGGTTGAGCAGCAGCTTCTTGTTTTCACAAGTAAAGTCACAAAACTCACACTTGAATCTGAAAAAAAGGGCGACAAAAATATTAAAAATGACTTTTCCTGCTTCCGTTTTTGCCTAAATCTTTTTTTCAGAGTAGATGCCAAACAAAGCTTTCAGTGCTGACTTGTTGTCTCCAAGAATCTGGATGTGGGTCAGTAAGTGCATCTTGAACGTGTAGCGCTTCTTGAAGGATTTGCCGCACTGCAAAGACAGAAAGGCTTCATCTGAGAGGTTCAGGGAGACCAAACGGATCAGGAATGTTATTACCATATAAAGCTGTTCCTGACCTTATCGCACATGTGCGGCTTCTCTGAGCTGTGTGTTTTCATGTGCTGCGTCAGTCTCTTCTGCATGGGGTAGACCTTTCCACACACAGGGCAGGGGAACTCCGACACCTTAGGTGCCTGCAGGAAGGAGAGCAAGAGTCACGACGCTGCTCGGCCACAGAGAGCAACAAAAAACCTCGAATAAAAATACAAATACATCTTACCAACTCTGTTTTTCTTTTTCTGCAAAACAAAAATGTGTATAAATGTCAGCCATTTTTCAAAATAAAAACTATTGTCACACATATATGCATTACAGAAGTTTCTTACTTGTCTTTGTTGTGGACTGCTGAATGCCGGAGGACATCTTTCTTGTAAACGCTGGAGTAATCACACTCCTCACATTTAAAAGGCTTGGTGCCCTCATGGTTAAACATGTGCTCCTGTCAAAGTTGGAGAAACAAAGTAGTCCCGGTGATGTTCAGGTGTTTATGGAGACGTGTAAATGGGATTATTTATTATTGTTTTGTTTCTAACCTTGAGTGAAGACCAGCGCTTGGAGCGATAATTACACTGCAGGCACTTGAAGAGCTCTGGGTCGTTGCCCTCGTGCGAGTCGACATGAAAGCGTAAATCCTCTTGCGTGAGGAAGCGTGAGCCGCAGATCCAGCAGTTGTGAGGTCTCAGGAGCGGTTTGAGGGATTTATAATACCGGCTGGAAGACGATGAAAACAAGATATAAAATCTTGTCTGTAACAATAATGAGATTAATCGTTTAGGACTTACTTGCGATTTATATACTTTTTGTATTTCTTGCGTAGGAAGCGTTTGGACGGCCTGCCCCGCTTCCTCTTTAAGAACTCCTCCTCTGGCTGGGAGTTGGATGAAGGGTCTTTGTTCTCAGAGTCTGATTGGCTGATTGCTGCCTCAGCGGCGTCTCCATCAGGACTGGTCCCAGGTCCGTTACCTAAACCAGAAGAGCTGGCCTCTTCGGATGGATCTGCATCCACACATCTGGGCCTCTTAGAAATGCTTTCTGCTTCTGTAACAACATTTTTAAGATGAGCGTCACAATTCCTGGAATTCCAAGTCCCAAATGTAGGTTTCAAACCTGAAAACACACCTACACTCCTGTAGCTTTCACCTGGAAGGAAATACTTCCGTGGCCGACCAACCTTTCTCCGAGGACGCCCTTGTGAGGAGGAGGTGGAGATGGGAGTGGTGGCTCTCTTCAGAATTGCAGGAGGTCTTCCATTGCATTCCTCATCTACTGGGTTGTAGTCACTGTCCTCTGAAGTCAGACAGAAGGTCAAAGCCAGGGTTAGAACCAAACGTTTACGACTGAATGGAGGATTAGAATGTGTTTTCACCGACCTTCAGGATCATCAATAGCACCTGCATCCACAACATCATCCTCCTCTTCCTCTCCTGGTTTATTCTCAGAAGCCTTTTCCTCCTCCGCCCTCCTCCTCTCTGCTTCCTCCCTCTCTGCTCTTTGACGAGCTAAAGTCTCGCTTTTAGGAGGTCGTCCACGTTTGCGTTTCTTTGGAGTTTCCCCTTTAACAACAAAAGCCATGCTGCCACCACTGAGGATGCTCAGAAACATACAAATGTTGGAATGAGGACCTTACCAGCAGGTTTGAAGTGCTTATCTCTCATGTGGTTGATCAGTGTAACTTTGGAGGCGCTCTTGTATGGACACATCTTGCACTTGTACTGCTGAATAATCACTACCTCCATCATCTCCTCCAGCTCAGCCAGGTTCGGCTGGTGGTCTCCAGAGGAGGCCTCCTTATCCACGGACAGACCAACTCCATCCTGGGAGCCTTGGGGCTCCTCGTGACTGGGAGAGCTCTGCTGTGGTGGTTCGGGGTCTGAATTAGAGGTGTATGTGCCACTGCTACTGATGTAGAGCCCTGGTTGACTTTCATTGCATTCCAGAGCATTGGGAAGTCTCCGAGAACCCATCGTGTCAGCGCGCGGCCGGTCTGATGAGGAGCTGTCATCAGGATAAAACGAGCCCTCCAGGCCGTTGCTGTTTTCTGTGTAGCAGGAGTGCTGCGGCTGCTGGTTCTGTTCATCGTCTTCATCGTCGTCGTCTCTCGCTTGGTACAGAGAGCAGCCTGGCTGCTCCGAGTCTGCAGCTGCTACGCATTCTCCTCCATACTGGGCTTCGTACTGACGACTCGTCTGAGTGCGGTGGTCTGCACTGCTGTCGATGTAGCCGCGTGAGTGATGCGGCTGCTCTCGCTCATCCGCAACGCACTCAAGATACCCGGTGCTGCACTCCACCACGCAGTGACTCCGGCTGGTGGGATCCGAGTCGGCTCCACGACACTCCACGTATCCAGGCAGGTCCGGGTCGCTGTTGTTTCCGCTGTAGTCAGGAAAACCCAGGTGGGGGCGCGTCTGGTCTGGTTCCTCACCTGAACACTCCAAAAATGATGGTGAGGACTCTGTCTGATCTGGGCCATCTGTGCTGCAGTCCATGTACTGGGAGGGGTGGGAGTGCTGGGGCTGGTCAGGTTGACTGCTGCTGTCTTCGGGGTAACCAGAATGTCCCGGCTGATCGTCAGGCTGGTCTGGCTCAAGGCCACCCTGCAGGTCTCCCTGGTCTAGACAGGTGGATGTCGGACCTTCAGCGAGAGCTTCTACAGCTACACGGTTGGACAAGGCAGAAGAGGACATCTGAGCCACCATCGGAGCTCCTAAAGCCGACAAATGGAACATCTTTGTGAATAATATTTATGTGGAGTTGATCATTTAAAAAAAATGTCAGTGGATTAATGCAAGCAGCAGCCCACCTACCATCATCTGGTCCATGTAAAATCAGATACTGGGTTGTTTCTGCTCCTCCGTCCTCTGCACTGGTCACAGCTATGCAACCTTCATAAAAATAAAGCAGAAGACATCATGACTCTGATAATCAAATCCATTTCTGGGGCTTTGCAGTACATCAGAACAGGACAAACAACAGAATCTCATTAGAAATACCATTCATGATATCTGGACCAATGGTGGATTCTATGATCTTGTCAATGGCAGATCCCAGATCCGATGAGGTAGAAGCGGTGGAGTCAGAAACCATCATAGCTCCTTCAGATACAGCACTGGAGTGGACCAGAACCTGAGCTGACTCTGACACCAGCACCGACTGAGTGACTGTGGAGACACTGGACACGCTAGTGGACTGAGCCACGGAGGAGGAGTCAGGAAGATGGACAGAGGAAACTCTGGCATCAGTACTGGAGCTGGTTTCTGGGATGAACACCTGCACAGGAGAGGAAATAACACAGTTCTCCAAAGTTTGGTTCCATGGAGGTGTTCTCCCACAGCAGAATGTTCATAATCTTACCACAAGTCCCTCTGAGCTCTGTCCCACATGACAGTCTGACTCCGGGGCCTGTGGGTGAGAGGCAGCAGCATCGCTGCTGTCTGCAGACATGGCCTCTGATGTTTCCATGCCCATGCCGCTTTCAGACGGCTCTTCCATCCCCGATGGGCCTGCATCGCTGCTACTCTCCACTTCATTCTCCTCTGAATCCATAACGAACTAAATAAATCAAAACACAAAAACAATCTTTACATTTTTATGACTTGGTGACACACAATTGTGTTAGGAATGTCATTAATAATTTTGAGAGGTAAAAGTAATAAAGGCCAAAAATACTTTTTGAAATATATTAACCTAATGTTTCCTTGAGGAGGTTCATGGAGATTATAATAAACTAAATGTCTGACAAACACGTTTCCTAGTTTAATCAAAACTATTTAAACAAATGAACTGCCATACTTTAAAAAAGACGAAACATCTCATCAGACACTAAATATCACTGAAATTTATTTTTGATTAGCAAAAAAATAAATAAAAATAAAAATACTGAGACACTTTTTATTGGGTGGACAATACATTTATTTTTGTGTTTTTACTTACTGGAATATCATATTTGTAGTGTTGTTTCTTTCTTTTTTCTAAATGTCTCTAATAAACTAAATCTAAGCTTAGATTCACATACAAATATAGAAACCAAAGCGAAATTGCGTCGTTTATAAACAATATTTTATCTACATGACTTCTTAACCTTGGTACTAGTTTATACTGATTAATGTAACATGTATTTAATGCAATGATTTACTTATTTTCTTTAATTTCACAGTACTGATCAAAGCATTCCCTATGTGTATGTAAATGAAGCTAATTCTGAAACAGAATACACAATCTGTGGATGTTTTTAACATTTTAATCAGCAAATAATGGGTGTTTTAATTAAGAACAAAAAATGTTTTGTGAGATTATTTTCAATACTTTAATACATGCAAGCCTTACTGCTGAAATTAAAAACAATACATTCCAGATTAAATAATTACAATCAAAATTTGGACGAAATACAGTAAAAATATTATTTGTATTTGTTTACTGCACAAGTTTGTTAACTCATCGGTGCTACGTATGTTGACACATAGTGCTAGCTAGCCAGTATCCGGTGTTTAAATATTTGATTCATTGACTTGTTTGCCGTTTCATTTCATAAATATTTGGTGTTTGACTTAATTTAGTCAGTTTGATAAGTAATGCGCTGTGTTTGGACCAGAAGTTAGCAAACACTGCAATATAAAAACGCAAACGAGCTAGCTATGGCACACTAAGTAGCCCTTTTGCTTCGTGAGGCTAAAGCTAAATATCATCTGCTGTATAAATGAAGGGCTTGTGGCTATACAACCGATGTTTCTGTCAACCTAACGGAGACAAAAGTGTCCTTAAAAGTTTTTATTTATCGCACAGATAAATATCCAGGCGTTTGAAACGGGCCTAGCTGCCCTTTATCCTGCCTGCTTCGCTTAGTCATTCTGTACCAGCGAAGCCTCTTTTCCACTCAGGCATTCTTTAAGCTCTACTGGCCTGGGGACCTTGTGGGCCTCCTCGACCACGGCAGACAGCCCGAATTCTCTCCCTGAAGAAAATGAAAACATTTTCTACCCCTGACATTAAACACGCAGCTGTTTTTTCTTACCGTGTATGTATGAAGAAAACAGTATCCTTTAGTGTAGAGGGGCCAAAAAAGACACAAAATAGGAACCGATAATTCTCGTTTTTTTCTTTCTAGTCGGGCGCCATGAGTATCTCCTCGCTTCCTGTCGGTTAAACCGGATCTTATTTATTGTTTTTGTTCAAAACGTATATAAGTCGATGGTTCAAAACAGCGCTCTTCGTCAACACTAGATTACAGTTGTCCGTTTACTCTTTTATTTCTACATATTTAATTTATAATTACACGAATGTAATTATTTTATAATATTTATTTTTGTGGACTATTGTTTTCGAGTAGGACGCGTTACACCTGAAATTGCGGAGTAATTTCCATAATCGACATGAATGAAAAGCACGCTTTATGATAATTCTCCTAAATCAACAAACCAGCTAAATTTATTCACATTAAAATACGTTCTTATTTTCTAATTGTTGGATTTGACTAATCAGCTGCAATTTGACATTAGTTTATTCTAATAATTTCTAGAGATCAAGCAATATATCAGACAACATCAGTAATACTTTTTTTTTATAAATTATGGGTAAAATACAGCTTTGCACTCAATTTAAAGGCTTTGATTTAATTTTGCAAAATAAGGACTCCCTTAAAGAACATTTTTAATATCCATGGAATTATTTCCTGCAAAAGAAAGATAAATAAATTATAGTTTAATATAATTTGCAATTAGTTGTACATATGGGAAATAAGGCTTTTTATCCTGTTTCAATAACAAATTAACTGAATAGATTTCCTCATGACCAATTTTAGAAAAAAAATTTGAATCCGACAAAACATAGTAGACTTATTTCAAAATTATTCATTTTTGTCATTTGAGCTATTATGTTTTAATATGATTAAAATAATAATACATCAAGCTTATACAGCACTTCTTAGGACACTCAAAGACACTTTCATGCACTCTCACATTCACACACTACTGGTGATGGTACGTAGCCACAGCCGCCCTGGGGCGGTCTGACAGAGGCAAGGCTGCCATTTGGTGCCATTGGCCCCACTGACCACCACCAACACAGGTAAGTTGGGTGAAGTGTCTTGCCCAAGGACTCATCAGCAGAGTTCCCCTGGTGAGAGCTGGAACCGAACCCATGACCCTCCAATCATGAGGCAACCCACTCTACCTTCTGAGCTACTGCTGCTACTTATGTTAAATGCATTTTATAGTTTCCGAGTTTGCAAACATCATCACAAAGGTTATTCTAGATGCACCCGTTTTTCCTTTATACTTTTTATTTTTTGGGCAAGGGGCAGTTAAACAGTGATGTTCATTTGCCTAAACTAGAAGTTGTACTTCTCATGTATTGAAGTAGCCAAATTTAAATAACTCTGGAGAATTTGACAAAATGACAGGCTAGATGTTAATAAATGTGTCTGCACAAAGCCATCTGCGTTTGAAAAAAAAGAGAGATTACATTCTGTCCTTGTGTTTAATGAAATTTGTCATTTCTGTATGAAGGCTTCTTGTGGCTTACATGTAGAAAATGAACATTTTCATTAACACAGCAGAACAGAACTAGATTTGAGTAATTAATTCCCAGCACGGCTTGACTGGACTTGGGAGTTTCAGTCTAACAAGACAAAATGAACCATCTGGTACTGATGTATGGTAGTGCCATTTCAATCATGCCTTTTTGTGATGACTTTTCAAAGAGGTACATCAGTTAGAGCAGCATTCATTTTGCATTCTTCAGAGTAAAAAAAAAAAGATCTCACGATGCTACATCATTAATTGTAATGATTTGAATGTCCAACAAAATGTTGATATGTAAGCAATTTATTTTAATTTAGTTTGAAATCTTCCCTCAGAAGCAGTGGCACCCTCTAAAGGTGGCCAAGATCCCCCTGGTAAAATTTGTGGCCACGCCATTGCCCCCCTCCCCCACTTTAATACATCACATTCATGTTCACACAAACCATGCATTCATCTTCTTTAATCAAGACATACTGTCACACGTGCTGGTGAGTGAAGCGGAGGCAAGGATCCAAACACGGGTGAAAAGGCAGGCAGGCAGACAGACAGACAGACAGACTCTGCTGGGAGTAGCCATCAGAAGATGGCTGTGCTCATTATGCAGTGTTTCCCAACCCTGGTCCTCGAGGCACACTGTCTTGCATGTTTTCCATGTTGACCTTTTCAACAACAGTGTTTCCCTGCTGCCACACACCTGACTTACAGTTTTTCTCAGTTGCTTTGGTGCATTTCTCACAACAGAATTTATCAGGGGTGGATTGGCCTATCTGGCATTCTGGCACTGTCCCGGTGGGCCGCTTAGCCAAGTGGGCTGCTTGCCCAGCTTGGGCAGACACTACTCCACAGTTGGTGATCTGCAGAACATTAGCTACATGCTAACCCAAAGCTAACAGAGTTTTTCCTGGCATTTTTGCAAGAAAAACGCGGTAGAGCGATGTACCACGTTAGCATGTAGCTAATGTCCCGCTGATCTCCGACCGTGGAGAATGAGCTGATCTGGAAGGCCAGGGCTCCCGGTCGCAGCGGTCTGGCCCTGCTTGTAATTAACAGTCCCAGTCCATATTAGACCACTACTAAGGCTCTTCTCAAAAACAATTAGTGCAAACTGCACATCATGGTGGATAACTTGCAAAGGTGAGTCACTTCATCAAAAAGAAAAGTCAGTTGCTCAAAATAAGTAGTCAATGCTTCAAAAGCAAGTCCCTTAATCAAAACAGATAATATATTCATCAAAAGCAAGTACTTATATCAATCAGTGTGTCAGGGCTGTCACAATTACAAGTCTTTACACCAGCACCTTTGGTCACAAAATCAAATGGTTTGAACATGTTCTCATTGTGACAGATTTCTTTGTAGGTGCTTCCCAATGACATGTCAAGTCTGGACAGCATGCATGGCATGTTGAAAACCATAAATTGTAAAGGAAAATCAAGACACTTCATATGCACTCTTGATAATATTTAATTGAAACTGTTCACAGCATTGTGCAACTGGGGAAATACAGTACAACAAACATTTTACAGCAAACATAAACTCAGACAGTAAACCTTACTGCAGTAGTTATGAAACAAAAATAAAACGGAACACACTGCTGCATATCAATCATTGATATCTAGACGCTCCCGTCTGTCTGCCCACATATTTTCATCAGCATCACAGCGAATGTCAGCTCTATCGATGCATCGGGGAAAGTATCTTCTGGAGTGTCGAATCCACCCTCTGCAGGACTCTGCTTAGTGTGAGATAAGGTTCACCTGAGAAAAGTAATTTATGGAGATTTCCATGGAAACTCCTTAAAATAGGGTTTTCAAAATGGGTGTAATTGTTTGACAAGATGTTCAACAATTTTGAGTGCAATGACACAAGCAATGAAATGAAGACTATTAGTTGTAAGGACAATGACTAGTCAGCTGGTACAAGTGTAAATAATTGTGACATTCATGATAAAAGCAAGGAGATAGTAATGAATAGCAAGTCAAAAGTGACCTTTCTTTAGATATTTGTACTTACTCAACTGCTTCATGTCCAAAGGCATTTGCCACTAGGTTGTGCCAAAACGATTACATGTTGTGGAGGTTGCACTAACTGTTGTGCAAAGATTAATTCTGTTGTGAGAAATGCACCAAAGCAACTGAGAAAAACTAAATGAATGAGTGATTAACAGGCATCTGCAGCACTTGATGTCCTCCTGAGGAGGCAATGTAAATCAGGTGTGCTGAAGCAGAGACATGGAAAATATGCAGGTTAGTGTGTCCTGAGGATCAGGGTTGGGAAACACTGTCATAAAATGATGGACATGGTCAGCAGCAATACTCAGGTAGGCTGTGACGTTGCAACAATGAACAATTTGTACTAAGGAGTCCAAAATGTACCAATAAAATGATCCCCACACCATTATACCACCACCACCAGCCTGAGCCGTTGACAGAAGGCAGGAAGGATCCATACTTTCTTGTTGTTGATGCCAAACTGACCCTACCATACAAATGTTGCAACAGAAATTGAGACTTATCAGACCAAGCAACATTTTTCCATTCTTCCATTGTCCACTTTTGGTAGTCCTGTGCAAATTGTAGCATCAGTTTCCTGTTCTTTGCTGACAGGAGTAGCACCTGGTGTGGTCTACTGCTGTTGTAGCCCATCTGCCTCTAGGTTCAACGTGTTGTGTGTTCAGAGATGCTCTTCTGCATCCCTTGGCTGTAACGAGTGGTTATTTGAGTTAATGTTGCTTTTTTATCATCTCATCTGGCCATTCTCCTCTGACTTCTGGAACCAACAAGGCATTTTCGGTCACAGAACTGCCGCTCATTGGATGTTTTCTTTTTTTTGGACCACTCTCTGTAAACCCTAGAGATGCTTGTACCTGAAAACCCCAGAAGATCAGCAGTTTCTGAAATACTCAGACCAGCCCATCTAGCACCAGCAACCATGCCACGTTCAAAGTCACTTAAATCACCTTTCTTCCCCATTTTGAAGCTTGGTTTGAACTGCAGCAGATCATCTTAACCATGTTAACATGACTAAATGCATTGCGTTGTCCGCATGTGATTGGCTGATTAGTAATTTTTTTCTGGGGGTGCCACTGCTCAGAGGACGACATGTACAGGTACTTGTTTGGTGAATGAATGACGCTGCTGCCAAAAGTAGATTGTTCTCACAGAATGTTTATTGCATTGAAAGTTCCAACTTTAATACAAAAGTTTAAGCTTCATAAATAATTAGAGAAGGAGACATCAGATGTCTTCCAGTGCAAGTATTTGGATTTTAATCCATAAATCACACAAAAAATAAGCCCAAGACACAAAAAATAATATTAACATTACATATTGTTATAAATACAGATGTTCCAATACTGTTATGAATCTGAACCTGCCAGACATAGAATTTAATCAGCAAATCTGGAGTGTAAGCCAAATTGCACGTGCTTAAGTAATATTTAGGGGTCTTAAATTTCTGCCACCTCTGCTGTCAGTGCCAAAGAGGGCACATTTACTTTCTTGTTCTGGCCCTTTGACTTACATTAAGGCCAATACTACTGCATGTGTCCTAATCGGCCAACTTCAATAAAGGCCAATTATTCACATTCCAAAAAGCAGACACATCTTAAAACAGGCGCACAGGCAAACGTTGCATCACTTTCTCCCAACACGGAGAGAAAAAGTGACGTTTAGTCACAGACAACTTCCAGCTCGTCTGTGCCAATTTCTTAATAGTGGAAGCCCGAGGCTTCAGCACATTTCAGCAGGTCATAATTCACGTATCCAACACGGTCCACCTGCCGGCGGGAGTTCATTCGCCAGTAGAAGCGATCTCTGCAGAAGTAAGTGTGACCTGAGAGATATAATAAAATAAGATTTATTACATGTTTTTCATTGATTCTCTGATCAAGTTTATTGAGCCTATTTATGACTATTTACCTTTGTACTGGAATACGTCGTGAGCGTCATTAGGGACGCCACCAAAGACAACTTCAGTGGGTTTGGGGTAGCCTCTATCAATCTTCTGAGTCTTGACATCCAACCTGTGTGGGTCAGAAAATCATGTCAACCAGGAAATACAAATATATATATTGCTATTTTAATTCATGTGATTACATTTAGATTTATTATTGCCTAATTTGTGTGTTTAACTGTAATAATTTTACTCACCTCCAGAAGTCCTCTCCGCTGAAAAGCAGAACTTTGCTCGTCCCTTTCTGCAGCGCTCCTTCAACCTTCTGAACGCTGTTGGGCAGACCCAGTTTCTCAATGCTGCGTGGACCCAGGACGCTCTTTCCTGTGTAGACCCAGAATCTGGTTCCTGAAGACATGAGATTGTGACAACCATTAGAAGTTTGGTTAAGTTACTGGCCCGATAAATACTGATATGAGCCTTAATTACCGGAGAAGAAGTAAATTTTCTTGGTCAGAACGTCCTCAAAGGCAGAATCGATGACAGCTGGTAGAGCGGGCCAACTCTCAGAAATAGACAGGGGTCCCTTGTGTCTAGCATCACCCCTGCTGGGTACCTTCCAGTATTGTCTGTTGATTAGCATGTAAATTAGCCCTTCAACATTTTATTTCTTTAACCTAAAAAAAATGATTGAAGTAGAAACAAACCTTCACTCACCCATTTTTAAAGAAATGAAGATCTCCTTCAATCACAGTAATGGTGTCAAATTTGAGCACCTTACAGGCATCGTTGTCTGGAAGCTTTGTAGATGGGGTGGTAGAGAAAGGGTCATCAGTGGTTTCTGGGTAAGAGGTGGTGGTGGGGGTGTTGGGCTCAGGTACTGTTGGTTTGGGGCCTGGTTTACTTCCTGAATTAAAACAACAAAGGCTTAGAAACATTACTGATATTTCATTTGGTGCTTTAAATGAAGTACGCGTTGTGTGATGACCTCACCATAGAGATACTGAATGCCTTCAATGTCATCCTGATGGAGAGGAAAGTTCTCTTTGTAGGAGTACATGGGGTACATGAGAGCATCTCTGACGGAGGAGTGATCCAAGCCAAGTGCATGTCCGAACTCATGGGCTGCCACCAGGAACAGACTATAACCTGCAGGTAAAACCCCATTAATGCATGGTGCTGGTAAAAAATGTATCCGAGCTACTCTCCTGCTCTTTTTTGTGGTTCTCACCCTGGTCGGGACAGAAGCCCCATTTCTTGTCTTCATCGTAGTCCTCAGTGGTGCTGCACCACAGCTTGCCATCTCCTCTCCCCTCGCTAGTACATGAGTTATACTCTTTTCCCAAAAACACAAAGGGAAAGTGGCAGGGCTCTCCCTCAGAATTTCCTCCAATTACAGCCGTGTCTGCAATCAGAGACATAACACCAACAATTAAACAAAGTAACAAGCCATTGTGGCCGGGCTCCCTAGAGTTTATGTGCATTGTGTGTTTGAGTTTTTATGGCTCACCACGACTGGGGCAGAATCCATATTTCTTGTCCTTGTCATAATTGTTTGTGGTGGCACACCAGCGGTTGCCATCGTTGCGGCCCTCTGTGGTACAGCTGCTGTACTCCTTGTCCAGAAAGATGAAGGGGAAGACACACGGAGCTCCATCTGCATTTCCTCCAAATGTGTAAAGAACTGTTGGGAGGATGGTCAAAGGCAGGGATGGGTGAGTTTTGTTCCACAAGCTAGTAAACTTCTGTGGTTTGGATTTAAAATATTCATTCTCAGGCTTACGTTCACTTGGGCAGAAGCCATATTCCTTGTCTGCATCGTAGCTAGCTGTGGTTGCACACCATGGCAGGTTGTCTGTACGCCCTTCGGTGGTGCAGGAGGTGTAAGACTTGCCTTCAAAAGTGAAAGGGAAGTGACACATGGCACCGTTGGCATTCCCGTAGCGAGTCTTCACAGCTTAGGGGACAGAGAAAATTGAGTTTTAAAGGAAACCTCTTGAGTGAACACTAGAGGGAGTTGGCAGCACATGGTTGTACATGTCTGATTACCTGGGCCTTTCCCCAAGGTCCAGAACTCATCATCATCAAAGTGGGCATCTCCCTGCACACCCTCACCGGGAGGATAGGCGTGAGCTAGAAGGCCGTCCTTACCATCAAATGGGTATGGATCTCCATGGTCTAAATGAAACATTAAATTACTCGTCAAAGTCTGATTAAACTGTCTAAAAAAAGCAAAAAAGGGCAAGAACGTACCGGTTTTCCCAAAAGAGATCATTATGTCAGCTGTGCCTTCAAAGAGACGGGTAAAGGAGAGAGGGGTCACGTCGCTCCACACCTTGAAGGCTCGAGCAAAGGCATCATCAATCAAAGAGCTGTCCATGTCTGGAGAATAGTTCAGGATCCTGAGGAGAACAGAGTTGTTGCATGGAACTGACCAATGATTCCAGTTAAATGTGCATCATTACCAAAAGCTGTGACACATACCTGTAAGTAACATCACTATGGTCCCACTTAAGGTCCCCGTCAAAGGTCTGATAGTTGGCCACATCTGGAACACCACAGCGAGGTTGATTCATGGCCTCCAGCGTTTCTTTGTTCAGCTCTCCGGTCTCCTCCAGACCTAACTGCCTCTGCAGTCTCTTCAGGGCTTTTTCTGTGGACACTATGGACTGGAAGCCGCTCCGCTGCAGGGTGTCCATGTAGCCAAACCTCTTGAGATAATTCTGGAGAAAATGAAAAAATGTTTAGAATATAAAGAATCCTACACGAAGACATCTGCTCAAATATCACCTTCTATTTTTGTGTTGAATGATATTTGTAAACCCCGTCGTGGCTTTGGTTCACAGAATGAATATTTTCATTAACACTGTGACATGAATCTTTGTTAGAGTAATTTTTTTCCTGCACAGATTTATTGGACTCTGCTCTGGGACCCAAGACAAGATGAACCATCTGCTGCTTACCTCGGCAAGCTCCATATCAGTCATGTTTCTGATGATGTCTCCTGGGAAGGTGACAAAGACCGACTTGACGGGCAGACTCCATCCGTTCTGCACGCTTACTCCCAAAATCAAACACACGACTAAAGCAAAGCATCTCATGGTGAGACCTACTGTCGACCACGGCAAAACCGAACAAAAAATAAACACTAAGAGTTTAAGAAAAACAGAAGATTGTCTGAGGATTTTGTTTTCAGTGTTGATCCTTGTAGTTGTCTTCTCGTGTTCTGGCTCTGGTTGGGGTTGTAGACCTTGTATTTATGTGGAGGAGAGTGTTAGTCACCTAACCTCGTTCCCGCCTCCTGCCACCTCAATCCTCCTCCTTACATCTTGTCAGCCTCCATGGGTTGAATAAACATTGGGACTTTCCAAAACATTTACGTAGAACTTCACCTAAATGCTAGTCTGTGGTTTACTCATTGATTTTTTTTATTTTAGAAGATAGTTTTAGTTAGAAAAGTATGTTTGGTGTCGAACAAGACTAATTTATGATAAATTGTGATTCTACTGATGACACTCTAAGATTACAGCCAATTAAAATTAACCCTTCAGAATTTGTATTTTAAAAGAAAAATAAACATGATGTGACTAAATCTACCTAATTGGAAATCTTAGTAACACTTTACAGTAACGGTTTCTGTATTAATGTTACTTAGTGCTTTATTAACCATTAAAAACAAAGGGCTCCTTTATTAACGTTCCAGATTATGTTAACTATTCAGTGCCACAGTCGTTTATACTTAGTTTATTAATGCTTAATAATGCACTAACATTAATAAAGGGACCCTTTTATTAAAGTGTTGCCAACATTTTTTACTTAAAATTTCACAAAGTCATGATGTAAAAGGATTAACAGCATTGCGGTTTGTTGTCATCTTTCCTTTTTGAGAATTTTTTATTTATTTATTTTTTTTCATCATAGAGCACACACTCATGGGACTAAGCCAGACGCTTGTTCTATTTTTTATCCTCAAAAAACAAATATAAAAAAACTGGTTCTTCTTTTTACTTCCTCTTTGAGTTTAGGTTCCAAATCAGACATAAATCTAAGTCAAACTTAGATAAATTTAAATAAAATGATTAAAAGGTGATCTTTGTTGTTTTATTAGGTAACAAAGAAAGCGTTTGGTTTATTGACATTTTTTTGATTAATTACAATTGTGATGACAAATCCCATTAAAGTGCTTTTGGACACATTTTGGGAAATACCTGCTCCCTCGTCACTATAGGCGCTGATGCAACACCTATAATAGACTGATGTTGAAACACAGCTCCAGAAGTCCTGTGTTGTAACATGCATTGCATCTAATGTTTTTGATCTTCTGCATTCAAAGAATGTGTGACATCTTTGTCTCTCGCTCACGTTTTTGCCACACAGACCACAGATGAAAAATACACACATAAGATAAAAGAACAGCTTGTGTGTTAATCTGTGATCTTGTGTGCAGCATACAGGATGTGCAGGACTCATGGTGGCTCAAAGTTTCCCAGATTTCAGGCCACAACTTGCTCTGATCCCACATGAATAATCAATGTTGTTTTTGAGGGACTTTTTCTTTTAACTCAACATTGCTGGTGTTTTTTTGTTTTGTTTTGTTTTGTTTAAACACGTTTGTGTAGTTCCCTTTTGTATTTTCTACATGCAGGTAAAAAATCTCTTGAATTAATGAATCAGCAAATTCCATGTAGAGAGAAAAAAACATCTGATGCAGTAAAAATATCCATCCATCCATCCATCCATCCATCCATCCATCCATTTTTTAAAATTGTTTTTCCATGGTCAGGTTGTGGGGAATGTCGAGGTCCAGCTTGACCTTTTGTGGAACCGAGCTGGTAGGAAAAGCAGCGGTTGCCGACCAGACCAGTCTGTGAGATACTCCCGGGTCACAACAATTTTATTGGCATCAGGTGAGACCCGAACCTGGGTCTTGATGGTTCAGCTTTTATTCTGAAAGGAACCGTTGCAGCAGTTTGAACAGCAACAAATTTTCCAGCTTGTCGTTGGTTCTTTTGGTTGAAGAGGAGAATTTCGGATTGGCCACTCTGACACTTTCTCTGGAACGCTTTGAACTGGCGTTAGAGATGACGTGGCATAGTTTTATACGTTGGATGTTATGGTTTATGGCCGAATGAAAATTTGAAAGAGTTACCAAACACCATCAAACTCACGCCTCCGTCAGATCTGTCAGATTCTGACTGGATCGGTGAAAGTAATGTGTCATGTCTTTTAACGCTACGTTAAATCAGTCCTGATGGAACATTTAAAGTCATAGTACTTTTATATTCTATAGGATTATAATAAAGTAATTAATATTTTGATTTCACAGATTGGTCACATCTTATTTATTGACTAACACTTTGCTTGATTAGCTTATTAAAATGGAGTTCTTTGATTAATTAAAAGAAAAGAGTCCATTCTTCATTCTTCTGTTGAGCTGAAAATAAGCAGGTTAGAAGCAAATGCATGAGACCTTGAGACCATATCTCATGCAGACTAGTCCTGTGTCAGAGGAGGGGGAAAACAGTCATTTCATTCTGTTACAATGTTAATATTTTTTGCTTTTCCACGAGGCATTCTTTAAGCTGCTCCACGTCTGCCGCTAGATATCCTTTGCTCTCTTTATGTTTTTGAGGGCGCAATGGCGGCACTGTAGATGACTGACTAATCACAAGCTTGTGTTCCCCATCTTGACAGACGGATGCTTAGAAAAGAGAGCTCGACTCCGTCCATCATGGCGAGGGCTCTCCAGCAGGCTCGCAAGGACGGATAATGGAGTTGTGTGCGTCCATCCCAACGTGGACGGAGAAGTATAAATTAGGCTTTTGGGGCAGTATAGGAGAGGAGAACGTAGGTAGGAAAAAAGAAAAAGGAATAAGGGAATTAAGATGGATACCTGATTCTGATATATGTAGGGTTAGGCTTGTGATACATTCTGATACAACTGCCAACACAACTCTTACCGGAAATGAGCCCATCTTACTGCCAGCTACGTGGACTATGCTCTGACACTGGTCATACAGGGACCTAACAGCCTGTATCGGAGGGCCTGGTACCCCAAACTCACAGAGTACCATACACAGGGCCTCAGAGGTACTCAGTCAAACATCTTCTACAAATCCACAAAACCCATGTAGATTTGTTGGGTGAACTCCCACGCACCCTCCAGGATCTCCCTAAGGGTATAGAGCTGGTCCAGTGTTCCACGACCAGGACGAAAACTTAATTGCTCCATCCGGCCATAACCTTAACCCAGCGGAATCAGCACGCGCCGATCTGGCTAACAGGATGTCCCAGCAGGAGCAGACTCTTCCCGTGCTCATGGAGCAGCTTACCATCGCTAACCAGCGCTACCAGCATTTGGAGGCTATGGTCCAACAGCTTCACGAGTGATTTCCAACTCCAGCTCCAACTTCAGCTCCAGCTCCAGCCGTTACTTCCGCTTCAAGCCCGGAACCAACGCAGCGAGTCCCGGGAACAGTGAGTCCTCCCGGACCGGAAACGCTCAGTCCTACGGAAGTCACCCACTTCCGTCCAGCTCCACCCCTGCCATGTCCTACGTTATTGGGTGAGTTCGAGGACTATTTTGGATTTTTACCTCAGTGCCGCCTAGCGTTCGAGCACTCTCCAAATACTTTTATTACGGACTCTTCGAAGATCTCCTTTATCATTTGACTTTTGAGGGGAAAGGCTCTTAGAAGGGCAGAGGCTAAAAGCCGGAACGCAGAATTTTTGTCAGGCCTTTATACTGACTTTCTGGAGGATTTTAAACTGACTTTCTGCAGTTCCGAAACCACCACCGACATCCGGAAGAGGCTCTTGCACCTATCCCAGGGAAGGAGAACGGTGGCAGATTTGTCATTGGAGTTCAGGACTTTGGCGGCCATGACGTCATGGAATGACGACACATTAAAAGCAGCTTTAATTGAAGCCCTGAGTGACAGAGTTAAAAATCAGCTGGCTCTGTGCCCCGAGCCACCCACCCTGGATAGATTAATCTCTCTCTCCATTTCCATCGACAAAATATATCGGGAGCTTCAGAGGACGTCAGCGGTGGAGTTTTCGCCGCCTCCTATACATCGCCATTCTACCCCTAGACCTCCTCCCTCTGAGGTGTCGGAGGAGCTTATGCAGTTGAGAAGAGCCCACCTAACCCTGGAAGAATGGTGACATCACATCAGTAAAGGCCTCTGTCTGTACTGTGGACTACCTGGACATTTTGTTCAGACATGCCCGGAGTTGCTAAAAGGGTCGAGACCACCAGTAGGACCGGGAGTCCTGGTGGGTAGTAACACAGGAAATAAAACCTCCTGGTTTCTCATCACATGTGCTGTGACTTGGAACAGTCAACGCCACCAGACTACTGCCCTAGTGGACTTGGGGTGCGGGCAGTCAATGGTGGATCCCCAACTGGTCTGTGAATGGGGAATTTCGACTGAGCGTCTTCCCGAGCCAGTGTCAGTTACCTCGCTGGATGGTAGTGTACTGTCCACCATCACTCACAGGACCCTGCCACTCCAGCTCCGGGTCTCAGGTAACCACACAGAGACCCTCTCACTATTTGTGTTCCCATCCCCACAGAATCCAGTGGTGCTTGGACATTCTTGGCTCAAATTACACAACCCGCTTTTGGACTGGCGAGCCAGCAGATTCGAGACCTGGAGTCCAGAGTGTCACCTCACATGCCTCAACTCGGCACCTACCGTGTCTAAGGACTCTGGCTTGACGCCAATTGAGCCTCCCGATCTCTCCCAGGTACCCCCTGTTTATCACGACCTTCAACAGGTGTTCAGCAGGGACCGAGCTGCCACGCTTCTTCCTCATCGCCCTTTCGATTGTGGCATTGACCTGCTACCGGGAGCTCCGTTGCCATCCAGCCATCTTTACAGCCTCTCAAAGCCTGAACGAGACATCATGCAGACCTACATTATAGAGGCTTTGGCGAACGGCACCATCAGACCATCTACCTCACCCCTGGGGGCTGGGATATTCTTCTTCGCCAAAAAAGATGGGTCTCTCCGCCCTTGCATTGACTATCGGGGTCTCAACCAGATAACTGTCAAGGACAAATACCCCCTACCCCTACTTTCTTCCACTTTCAAGCCCGTCCAAGACACCACCATCTTCACCCGGCTGGATCTTTGAAACGCTTATCACTTGGTCAGGATTCGCCAAGGGGACGAGTAGAAGACGGCTTTCAAAACACCCCTGGGGCACTTCGAATACCTCGTGATGCCTTTTGGTCTCACCAAT